TCTCAGCCAATCGTCGCAAGATCTGCAGCTTTATTCCTTCTTATCACGTTCAATCTTACAATGGTAACGCTATGGCCGAGAGATTTCGCCGGGTATCTCACGCTCGCGATGAGAGAGAGAAAGATGCGCACTGTCTAGTTTCGCTTTCCGGTCAATGCGTATTTACATTTTATGTCGGGGACTTACGCTACGGGAACGAGTTGCTGCTGACAAGGTATCCTTGACGGTATCCACGGGTCACGTCAGTTTCTGGCCCTTCCTCGCAGCACACCTTTCAGTCAAGGTTTTTCCTGTCCGGGTTCACAGTTGCCCGCGATCCTCGACTGTTGCCTCAGATCGCTCTGGGTAACTGGCAGTAATTGGCAGTGAATGACCTTTCCCTGAGCCGTGATTCTCAGCGACCTTGGAACCACCGGGTCTTCGCGTGATATCGGTCGAGAAGCTCCTTAAATTCCCAATGCAACCACTTGTCACTCGTGTTTTTCTTGCCCGCAGGTCCGAATTCGACTACTCACGCATTCCTCCGTCGCGCCTCGCGCACGCCGGCTGGCGGCCTAATCGCTCTCATTCCCCTTCCCCTTTTTCCTACTATCCCATGCTACGCGCGCCTAACACGCGGTGGCCGGTGCCCTAATCTCTTTCCTCTCTCCCATTTTTTTGTTCGTTCGCCTCGCGGGCGCTTTCCGCTTCTCCTTCTCTGATTTATTCTTGCGGGTCGGCTTTTGCGTCGCCCCACGCGATGGAAGCGTTTAGGCTCTACCTTTAACGAGCGACACTTATTACAGCCTCCCCCTAGTCGACCGATGTATAGGGACGACATCGGCGATGATCTTCGCTTAGACGCCTTGGTAATATAATGAATGAGAGATGAACGGGTAGGGATTTTCGACGGGATTGAGTGACCAAAGGAAACAGATTTCGAACTTTTCTCTTTTTCTCCTTTTTTTTCCCTCGCGTACCCCCGAAGGGTCGACGATGTTGGGATTGGGCTGCCTCAGGTGCGTCCGACCTTGCGTCTGGGGAGCTTGATTGGGGCGAGGACGTGATTTTTTCCTCGCCCGTTCCCCAGATCGTCCGCCACCCAGGTTGATCATGATGTTCACCGAGCTAAGGCCCGACGGAGACGCATCAGCGCTTATTTTGCAGGGCGAAGGATTACGACTTCGCCCTGCCGTCCGGGTGGCTGGGGTCGGGCGTTCGGGCATCCTCAGAGGTGTCTGCCCTGGGAACTTCTGGGCTCGCCGTATGCTCAAGATGGCGTCGCGGTACGCCTGCCATCTTAGCACCCGGTCCACCCAGGGCATGACGGAGGGATGGGTCCCCGGTAGCTCGTTGTACGCCTGGAACCTCGCCATTACCCGCGTGTGTAAGTGACTAATGAACTTCCAGGCGTTTTCCAATTCCCGGAGACCCCTCTCCATTACTCGCCACCGCTCCTCTGGCGACGTTACCTCGCTCCACAACAGTGGCGAGGTGGGCCAGTCTTCTTCGTCGAAGGGGCGGTCGGGCGTCGGTGCCCCGTGGCCCTGCCGGGCCGCGCGGACGGGTTCCCCAGCGTCGGATGATGGTCCTGTGTCTCCGATAGCGCTGGGAGTTTCGCCCTCTCTTTTGGCTGAAGTGGCTGCGTGTTCCGGATCTTCTGGTGCTACGGGCTCGTTCCTTCCTTTTTCCATGGGCGACTCGGTGGGGCGTGGCACCTCCGACCTCGAGGTTTCCCTGCCGGGGACGGACCGACCTCTTTCGGGAGAGGCGGGTTCCGGCGATATCTCTTCCTCCATAGGTGGTTTGGAAGGGAGAGAGGTTTCTTCCTCCTTGGTGTGGGTGTCCTGTCCATCTTCCTTGTCATCCACGAGGTCTATTATTTCGATGACATGGGGCTTGGGCCTCGGTTTGGAGGTCTCCATTGGTATGTACCGCGAGAACAACTCCTTGCGGAGGTCGTTCTTGGGCGGCGGGCAAAGTCCAGGCCGCCCCGCGGTATGCGCCGACAGAAAACGTAGATTGATCTCGAGAGCTTAAAAGTAAATATCTCGGGTTATCGAAAAACTAAGGATGGAGAACTCATGCGGTTCCGCTGCGGCGTAGAAGAAAGACAGAAGTTCTAAGAGAAGCTACGGGATACTGTTGGAAATGACGGTGTATTACGAGATATATGAGATAGCGATAGACGCTAAAGATTTTAATGCGTTGTCTGCGTTACAGACACTGACAAAGTACAGGACTCATTGAATCGAGAGATAGATCAAAATGTGGACTTTAAGATCCAGATCTTTGGACCTAACAAGAAAGACATTTGTATGAGAGTATTTGAAACGAACAGAGACACGGTCCATAGACTGCTCAAGAATAGCAGAATCAAAATTGGCTGGCTTAACTTATGATGTTTTTGGCAAGCAATACTACTAACTAGATATCGTACAAAGTTTCAGCTCGATTCATTAAGTCGTTTTTTTGTGAGCGTTGGTTGAACAAAAAGTTATTGGTTTATTTGAAAAATGGAAAAAACAGAGTTTCGAGCAGTGATAAAATATTTTCATTTGAAAAGCCTTACACCAAAAGAAATCACAGTTGAGTTGAACGCCGTTCATGGCAAGTCTGCCCCTGTGTTTAAGACTATTTATAACTGGGTAAATGAATTTAAACGCGGCCGTACAACAACAAAAGATGAACCTCGTTCAGGACGCCCCGTAGAAGTGAGTACGCTTGAATTGGTCAACAAAATTCACGATATGATGTTGAGTGACAGAAGATTAAAATTACAAGAATTAGTTGAGGCCACTGGGTATTAAAAGATACAATCATTTCAATTTTGCACGAAAAATTGGGGATGAAAAAAATATCAGCAAGATGAGTACCACATTTGCTCACTGTTGAAAACAAACGAACCCGCATGGTCACCTCTGAGGTTCTTTCGGCACGCATACGTCGTAATCCGGAAGACTTTCGGCATCGACTCGTAACTGTAGACGAAACATGGGTACACCACTATACTCCTGAAACCAAAGAACAGTCCAAACAATGGATTACCGCAGGAGAACCAGCGCCAAAGAAGGCAAAGACAGTAAAGTCAACTGGCAAGATTATGGCCACGGTTTTCTGCGATGCGTATGGAATGATCTACATCGACTACTTGGAAAAGGGCCAGACGAGCACTGGACAATATTATGTGTCATTATTAGGTCAGCTGAAAAAAAAAATCAGAGAATAACGTCCTCACTTGAACAAAAAAATGCCTCTTTCTTCAAGACAATGCTCGAGTTCGCACGTGTGCAGTTTCGATGGCAGAAATTAATGATTTAAAGTTCGAATTAATTGAGCATCCACCATATTCGCCTGATTTGGCTCCCAGCGATTTTTTTCTTATTTTCTAACCTCAGAAAATGGCTTGCCGGACAACGATTCACGTCGAATGAGGAAGTCATCACCGAAACAAATGCCTATTTTAAGGGTTTTCAGAAATAGTATTTTTCTAATGGCTTAAAAAAACTGGAAGGCCGTTTAATAAAATGTATCGACCTTCAAGAAGATTATGTTGAAAAATAAAAAAACATTATATACGCAAAACTTTTTTTCCTTCTTTTTGTAAATACTTATTGACTCCTACCCCCTCGTATTTAGCCGTCCAGATTTAAAGTTTAATTTCTTAAGAATTGTTTGATGTATTTGAAAAAATTAATTGGCATTTGAAAAGTGAGAGCAAATGTTACAATTTTATGTGTTTTAATATATATTTTATATTTTATTTAAAAATTTACTTTTGTTAACTTTATTTATTTATCATGATAAAAAGTAACTAAAAAGTAAATAATGTGTATCTGCAAAAAAATGAAGTTACAAAGTAATAAAAATATTTTAACATAGATTAAATAACAGCATCTACGCTCATCTTTCAAATGCTGTTCCATTTCTCTAAATCCATTGAGTTATTCCTAAGATATTTGATTTCAAACTTGGAATTTTAAGAAAAAATTGCTTTAATTTTCACGCTGCTGTACTTAAAAAAATTTAAGAATCCACCGCAGGCAAGGGTTCCCCATAAGCGTTTTATATGCTCGTTAGATGATGGTTGAGTAATAACGAATAAACTAAATCTTACTGGGTTATTTTTATGGATGTGCAATGGAAATATCCATCCACCTCTATAATTTAAAAAATATTTTAAATTACATTGATTATATCTCTGACGTGCAGTCAAAATGACTCAATTTATATAAAGATGGAATTCCGCTAGTTTTTTTTGGCGAACGGCCAAGCTATACAGATGCTGTTATCGAAGACTCCAAAACATTCTACGCATTCTGTATCTTTTGCATCTCTCTCTCTCTCTCTCTCTCTCTCCCTCTCTCTTAATTAGCGCAGCGGGGTATATAAGAAGAGCAAAAATCCGCACGAATGCACAATTCGCGCATAATCCATCTCTTTCTTACTTTTTCCTTTCTCGAAGGTTTTCTCTTATTTGGTTAAGAAGTACCAATTTCTCTTTGATGTGTGCTGCTCTTTTCCTCTTACTCCTTGCGCGTATACCATTTCTATATGTCTTCGATTTTTCGGCCGGTCTCTTTCTCACTTCCGTGTTTTCTATTGTCTGTTTTGGTTGCTCCTCAATATATCTGCGCGCTCTAACAAATATTCATTCGTTATAATATATTTATTTATAATTTTAATGAATAAAACAATAGTACATAGTACCAAAATAGAATAGCAATTATATTTTTATTGATAAAGTATTCACAGAAGTTAACATTTCATTATATGGATATATTATATATTATTTTTAAAAACTAATCCAATTTAGAATTGGAATTTATTTCCCGGTCGACTATGATAAATAAGTAAAGTTTGCATTTTTTTCTCCTAGAGATGAAATAATTACCTCTTAGTATCTAAAATATATTTCATGATAAATTAAGTGTATTTTTTTTTAAATTCAAATCCATGATTACCTCAAAATTTAATTTTTATGCATATTAATATAATGTGATAACAAGTGATTTACTTACTTGAGATTTTAGCAGTTGCAGAAGACCTGAGTTTCTAAAACTTTCATAAAAATCACCATGGCCTGGAGGATACCATCTAAAAAGAAATTAGTATTACAAGAGAATGCAGTGCAATATCATTTTTTGTAAAGGTAGATATTTTTAGTTATTGTAATTTATAAGATGAAACGTGCGAAAGAAAAAGATGGTTTAAAATCTTACTTTGGAGAAAATTTCTAAGACTATTGACCTTATTTTTCTGATACTAGGTATTATGAATATTTTGATATAATTACATGGTCTGTTAAATAAATAAATATTTAAAACATTTCTAGATGAAATCAAGAAAATCAGATATGAAAATTTTCCAATCAGGACGTAAAAATTACGGAGGATGAAAAATTATAATTTGACCTTGTCTAGTCCTTGGAGTCAACAGTGGTAGTGGTAGTATGATACGCTTAATCAAGTTTGGAGAGGAAAATGTAAAAGTTATTGGCGAACTATCATATTTTGTACGCATACAAAGTTTACCATTCCATAAAGATAAAAATTAGCACGTAACCAAACTTTGAAATTGCATAGTTTTCAATCTCAGCCCTATAAGTTAATTGGAAGTTATACTATAGTAGAGAACATTATGAAATCAAATTTTTTACTAATAAGTAATCAAATTTATATATTGTAACGGGGTGTATATTGAATGTGCGTGTTACGCCGGGCACGGGTTGCGGGTTCGCTTTGAGTATGTGCGCGAATGAGCGCGACATGCGCGAACGTTGCCGCTGCGCCACACAATAGCACAGGTTCTAGAGGTGCTCGACGAACTGTCAGAAGATCGCCCGAGCGGGAAATCTCGAGCATCTTCTCTGCAGCGATCCTTTCGTTGCTACCTTACCTCGGGCGTAGCCACGCTCGTCTCCGGGCGAAGTCTTCGTTGTTTGCCACCATTACTTTCTTCAGTAGGCTTAGCCTCGCTCGGAAGTATTTGGATGGAATTTGGCTAGCTAGAAACGGGCGCAAATACACCAGGTCGTTTTATCGACACGAACACACCGATGAGGGAAAGGGATTCTAATAACGGGTCAGTCAATGATTTTATTGTATACATAATTTACTTGTCTCTAAGGTATTCTTTATTATTTACTGTCCGCATATAAATATTGAGCCTGCGCTACTACCGTGATTTACTACATGTGACGTATACGGACGTCGACATCTTATCCGCTGCGATCACCTTTTATCGTCTCACGATCTCACGTGAGATCGCTGGAGATTTCGTCTATACACGCGAAACTAATAACGCGAAGCTGGTCAGCTTATCTTATTACAATGGTTCTTATCGACGCCGATGCTCAGATTAGCCTCGCTCGTATTCCGGTCTCGCTGGGGAAGTTGCCGGTGTCGATTCGGGCGTCCGCCGTATCCTTTGCGCGCGTGTTCTCAGAATGCCCTTTTTTCTCTCAACTATAGTTCCTTACAAAATAGCTGCACACTTTTATACGGGACGAAACGTTCGCACTCTGTAAGGGCCACAACCGTCCACCGCGAGTAGCTATCCTAGACTTTTTTCTTTTCGTTATCGCTATTTCACTCTTCGGACAGTTTGCATATTTGCGCGGGATCGCACGCGTGGATGCCTCATAACTCCAATCGCCGGAGTTGGAGTTGTTACCTTACCTGTAAGTTTGGTCAATGGTTGAGCATACGTGGTAAAGTCTCCTAAGAAGCAACGGTACCACAAGGTAGCTCCGAGGAAAGTTCGCAGCTGTCGAACGTTTCATGGTCGAGATACTTCACGATAGAGTGGATCTTTTCGGGATCTGGTCTTATTCCATCTCGGTTAATCAGTTATCCCAGGTACTTAGCTTCTGTTTTGCAGAAGACGCTCTTATCTCGATTAATCGAGAGTCTAGTTTGGCTTAACCTGTTTAAGATGGTCTGTAGGTGCTGTAGATGGTCCTCGAATTTTGACGATATCACGATGATATCATCCACGTAGGCGAAGGCAAATTCGCTGAGCTCAGGACTGATTACGCTATCAATCAACCACTGAAAGGTGGCACCTGCGCACGAAAGACCAAAAGGCATCCTCACAAATTGGAAATGCTCCAGCCCTGGTACGGTGAAAGCGGTGATAGCTCGAGATTCCGGTTTAAGCCGAATCTGGTGATACGCGCTACTACGGTCGAGAGTGGAGATATAACGCGCATTTCGCAAGCGTCTTAATATACCTTGTATGAACGGTAAGGGGTACGTATTTGGCTCGGTGACTTTGTTGACCTTCTGAAAGTCAATACAAAATCGGTATGAACCATCCTTCTTGCGTATCTTAATACTGGGCTCGACCAGCCACTGTTATCCGATTCGATAACTCCTTGGGTCAACATTTCTCTTACCATCCTATGCATTTCTTGCTCAACCTTATGCGATACCGGGTAGTATCGCTGCTTCATCAGCTTCGTATCACCAACTCGAATCTCGTATTTGATCTCAACAGCACATCCCAGACTCGTGAGAGCCTGGAATAAGGCCTTATCAATGGTCTCCTGTCACGTTGCTTGTTGTGTCGCTATTACTTCGGCCAATCCTATAGTCGCCAATCTCGGACCAGTTTTTAAGCTAACCACTTTTAATTTCATTATGGTCCGTGACTTCTTAAACAACAGCTTATCTTTGTCAGTATCCAGGACCGTTCTAAACTACATGATGAAGTTTACACCTAAAATACATTCTTCAACGAGGGTAGGGAGTATTGCTATTCTCGTTGGCAGTGTCATGCCGTCCACAGTAAACGGCAGAATTACGTGTCCGACAATCGGTAAATTACGGCCGTCTGGCAAGCCGGCCGCACCTGCATGTGTAATATTTAGCCTTATACCAAATGCTAAAGCCATTTGTAGAGCGTTACTTGCCATTGCTGTGGTTGAGGTCCCCGGGTCATAGAGAGCTCTAATTTTGAAGTCTCCTATTTGTACAGGTAGCCATCAACGCGTCTCTTGCTCTGGGGAATACTCTGTAACTAATTTTGAAGGAGTTTCGTCGGTTTGTTCATGACGTACCGTAGCACTGGATATCACGATCTTGTAGAGCAGTCCGCCGGCGTCATCGAGCTGAACCGACTTGCTCCTCATCATCGGAAGTCCTTCGGAGTTCTAGCGGGTGATCTGCCGTTACCAATGGTCCTGGGCTTTACTATCGTCGACTCTTTCGCTCTCTGTGGTCACATTATTATGTAGCGCGTCACAGGCGCTACCAGGGCGATCCTTACTCCCGTCATTCGACGCGTTTATCACTGTCAGCGCTTTTTGTGGCAGTGAGGGCATATGATTAATGCAGAGGGCAATCGCCGAACGATCAGTCTTCGCGTTTTCAGCACATGTACGCGATGATCTCACATTCATGGGGTTTACCGAAGGAAACGGAGGAATGGAGATGAGTGGACGACTGGATACTTACTCATGATGATACACGCTTTATAATTAACTATCGTATATATTGAAAATGAACTAGGATACAGTCAAACCCGAATAAGTCGTCACCAATTCAATAATCAACAGATAAAATTGATGTAGAGCTACAAAATTCTAAGGTGGTTTTTGGTTTATTACAATCGTAACAATAGTTGAAAGATTTAGTATGTATCTTGTATTACAGTATTGCATATGATAGTGTTAATAGCAAGATATTTAATGAGTACAATGTTATAAGTGGAAATGGCTCTTAATTGTCTCAGCGTAACCATTCGATACCAGTCGTTCAGCTTTCACGTTCGAAAATTCATACTTAATGGGATCTTATCATGGAGACAAAATATTATACTATATGTAATATAATATGATAGCATGATTATAGCATGATAATTTTTCAGAACATAGCTGCTAAATTGCAGATCTTGTGATTATTGCGTGAAGCTCATGCCGGGTGGCATGAGTCTTCGAACAATAGATCATTTAGGCCCCCTCCCTGTCATAAAAAATATAGCTGTACTGTATGCTAGCAATTTGTATATTAATTATTTTAGTTCTACTGAATATTTCAATAAAGCTAATAAAGTTTATCCATGTATTAAAGAGCACGTTGATTTCTTTTCAAATAAATTAATTGTATCTTAAAGTTTTAGTAGCAAGATTAAGTACAAATTTTTTGCAATTATCAAAAAGGAAGTAGAGCTTGAATGATCTGATTGTTAGGAAACTTGTAACACCATGGCATAGACTTCACGCTATGGATATTACCAATAAGACCATACTATAATATAATAATAATCGAATTTTTCTCTCCATGCATTTACCTCCAACCAAATATTCAAAACTTTTATCATAAAGAATTTAAGATTTTTAAAGAGAACTTTTGAAATGTTACCGATTATATTTTTACCATTATTTTACCGATATATATTTTAACCAACACATACATAAATACGTATAACCTCTTGGCTCTCAGAAAGTGCCAAACAATTGAGCAAAAATTACATTGAAGCTAGATTTATTAAATTAGATAACTGGAACAGATCTTAGAGATACTGAGAACCATATGCGATTCTGTCAATTTCTGTTGGAATAAACTGAAGCAAATCCAGGACATATGGATAGGATACTGTGAACTGACGAGGCGAGATATGGACGGATTGGAATGTTCAACTACAATAACGAGCATTACTGGGATTATAAAAATCCTTTTGTAATTCGAGAATGTAAATAATATATACCTTAAGTAAATGATTTTTCCAAAATCGGTAAATAACACACGAATGTTACTGAAAAAGTAATAAATTCATAAATAATTTCCTGAAGACGTCTTTAAATAAATAAGTACACGAAAGAGATTTAATTTTTACTACATTTATTTAATTATTATCTAATAAAATTAAAAAAATTATTTTACAATATCACAAATAATTCTGGATTTTGGTCAGTACCATCCTATATCTGTCCCGTAAAAGTTTTTGGTTTTCTTTCACTGCGTTGTTAACAAATTCTAAAACGGTGATAATCTTTTGTATTAAAATTTAAGAATATATTTTTTCAAATAAACATCGTTTCTTATACTTACGAATTATTCCCTCAAAAATTATAATTGGAATTCCTTTGCTAG